ATCATACTTTACCAGTAAAATTGCCTATCCTTGATATTAAAGAGAAAATTTATGGCAAAATAGTTTTAGTAAAATACATTGAAATCATAAATATGACTTCTTTATATTTTATTTGTGAACTAGTATGTGGAGTGAAACAGTGAAGAAAAACCTTATATTAAGTGAATCCAGGCTCTCTTGATAGTCTCATATTTTTATACTTTCCAGTGAGGCTTTTTGTGCTACAAATATAATAGTAGGTGATGAGAATAACTCTGTTATATAAATAATATAGTTTGGGAGATATCGTTCTTCATTTATAACTGTTTAAGACAGGTAATTGAATTTCATTTAATGGAAGACAATATAGTGTGTTGTCTCTAAACTTCTAGATAAAATTATAAAAACTGAATTATATAATTTAAATAAATTAGCCAATTTCATTTGTGTTCAGGATTCTTATTATATTAGCTTCTGTGAATAATGGGAGGACATCATTTTCATTACATAATTTTCATATCATAGAATAAGATAAACTATCAGCTGATCACACCCTTTTAGTCAAAGTCTACAAGCAGCGCTTGAAATGTTCCATCTTTTATACCTTAGAAGGGCCCAGTTAATTTTAATACACAGACCCAAAACCAAGAAAAAAATAATTTTGTTTCAGATAAGAGTTTCCATTAGTTTAAATCTGTCATATCTCAGCCTTATTCTTTTGACATACTTATAAGAGAAATACAAAACATTCATTTATTCATGTTTTTCTCTTTTTCTTTAGTATTTGGATCACACCGTGCTTGCTCAGGTTGTAATTCTGATTCTGTGCTGGAATCATTTCTGGTGATCTCTAGCCACTGTATGTGGGGCCAGACTCTCTCTCCAGTCCCAGAGAAAAATATTTTTTCAGTTACATACTTTCATTGGAAATAGCCAACATTAGGTATATTGGGATGTGACAAAATTTAAATTACAATTTTAAAGTAGCTAGATTATTTAATTTCCCCCCTCCCTCTCTCCTTCCCTCCCCCCTCCTTCCCTCCCTCCCTTTCTCTTTCCCTCTCCTCCCTCTCCTCCCTCTCCTCCCTCTCCTTCCTTCCTTCCTTCCTTCCTTCCTTCCTTCCTTCCTTCCTTCCTTCCTTCCTTCCTTCCTTCCTTCCTTCCTTCCCAAATGCTGCTTTGAAGACCCAGTGTTCCCACCTGGCATCTCTGCCAACTGAGATATGGTTCAGTACAGAATTCCAGCCTGTTAGGTGCATCCTAAGTGATACTAAGGGGCTTCTAGGGTCAGACTCAGTATTGCAGTCTCACGGTTGCACCTGGCAATGCAGGAGCCTTATGGCACTGAGGACTGAACTTGGGCAGAACATATACTAGGCATGCACCCTAACTATGGTACTATACTCTGACCCATCTACTCTATTCACAAAAAGCATCTTCTGAAAGATCTAAGCACAAACATTCTGGGGGAAAAATGGGTCTCCTAAACCTACAATATCTAGAGATTTTTAAAGTTGCAATAAATAGAACATTAGGAAATGGCAATTAATTTTTGTTTGTTTTTGTTTGGGGGCCACATCCAAAAGTTCTCAGTGCTTCTCCTGGTTCTGTGCTCCGTAATCACACCTGGTAGGGCTTCGGGTGCCAGGTATTGAACATGGGTTGGCAGTGTGAAGGAAAATATACTCTCTTTTGTACTATAGCTTCATCTTCCCAATGATGAATTTTTAAAACTTCTCTGGTTTATAAATTTGATATGCATTGCAAGAAACATAATGGTAATTAAAAGTCTTAGGTACATCTTTTCTCTAGTGGAAGTGATTATTATCAAAATGAAAAAATAAAAAAGAAAAATTTAAGATATATTGACACTTTCATATTTTCATAAATACAACTTTACTATGCAAAATACAGAAGCAGAAAAACTTAGAATTCAGTTCACATCTGCAATTAACAAAGTGTTAGGCATTATTTTAAAATTTAGACACATATTCTTTCCAATAAAAGATTTAGTTAAACTGCAGCTCCTTTTGCAATAGAGGTTTTCAGTGAAATGTTAGGTACTTAAGGTAAAAATTATGCCTTGAGTAGAATATATAAAATACTTTTTGAAATATATATTTAACTGGAAAACTCAAAATATGTTTAAGACACCAAAACACATTACAATGATGAGTTTGTATCCATAGTATAGTTTAATTTTCTCAGCATAGATTTTTATATCTTTGGAAATTCCATTCAGGAAAATGTAGTTGAATTATAGCAACATTTCAGTATGCTATAATACTTTCAGCTGTCAAGAAACAACCTTTAGAATGAACTATTTTTTAAGTTTTTTTCTTCAGTTTTATATGACAGTGTAACAGCTATAATCTTTAGAGAACATAACTTTATCTATAGAAGTAGTTACACAGATTTTTTACAGGTGCTCTTTAAAATCTTAAAATTTTATTTAGATCATCTACTATCATTTTATCTTTGAGAAAAAGTTTATTTTAAAAAAAGAAATACTTTTTTCTTAAAGGGGTATAAAGAAAGTTTCTTCTAATAATAGGAATATGAGCTATAAAATATTTTATTATGGAAAATATGGACATTAAGGGTATTATTTCTTAATTTTTGTATTCTTCTGGCTTTTTGGTCAAATATATATTCACTAATGCCTCTATGTGTTTTAATCTGGGCTATTTGTTGTGGTATGTGAAATTAACATAGTTCAGTACTATGAACACTGCAAGTTAATGTGTATTTTATTATAGATTATAACATTTAAACCTCAAATACTTATTTTGAAGAAAGGAAAAAAATTACCTAAATAAAACAATAAGCATTCATCATTTTTAAGTATACTTATTAGCTAAATAACAATGATAGGTTACAATAACCTATCATTGATGTAACAATGATAGATCTCATTCTCTTAATCCTGAAAGAGCATTGAAATGGCTCTTTTAAAATCTCAGGGCTAGGAAGATGGAGACGTTACTGGTTCCTGCTCAAGGAAATCAATGAACAATAGGATGATCGTGATTGTGATTAGCTAAAGAGCGATAGCACAGTAGTAGGGCATTTGCCTTGCACGTGGCCAACTTGGCCGACCTGAGTTCAATTCCTCTGCTCCTCTCAGAGAGCCTGATAAGCTACCGAGAGTATTTTGCCTGCATGGCAAAGCCTGGCAAGCTCCCTGTGACATATTCGATGTGCAAAACACAGTAACTAGAAGTCTCACAAAGGAGATGTTACTGGGCCTGGTCAAGCAAATTGCTGAACAATGGGAAGGACAGTGCTACATTAAAGAAGCATCTTAAGCCTGTAAATCTCTAGTTCTATTCTTCCATATTCTTTCTTGCAACAATTTGCTCTTTTGGTGAGGGAGTTGATGGGGCAGGCACACCCAGCATTATAAATCTACTCCCTACATTGTGATGAGGGTCACTCCCAGCCATACTCAGGAGACTTGTGGTGCCAAGGAAGGACTGTACCTGTGACTTCCTCATGCAAAGCATGAACTCCAGCCCTTTGAACTATCTCCTTACATCTATTTGTAATTTTATGAATATGGATTTATATTCCTGAGCCTAATTAGATATCCTGAAGAATTGTTTGAAAGATTTGTATACAAAACACAGAAGCTTAAGAAGTTAAAATTTATGATACAGTTCAAATAGATGGGGTTCAATTACTTCCCAATCCAGACCTCTTCTCCCCAAGCATGACATTACTCATTCTGTCCCTCAAATCCAGCGTAAGATGTCCTACATCCTGTCTCTTGTGATATAATTGGCTCCAGTGTATGATGACATGGTGTTTTTCCAACTCTGTTAGTACACACTCTCCTAGTCCAAAATGGGCAACGAGGGTGCTAACACCTGTGTCCCTTGCAAGAACTTACTTTACTGTTTTTGTAACCTGTTACTGGCCCCCAGAAGCACCTTTTCCTCTCAACTTCCCTTAGTCTGTGGATGTGTGACATCCCTGCTGTCCTCTCATCTGTCTGGATATGAGGGCAGAAGCAAAAAGATGATCCGCTGCTATCTTGAATCTGCTGATGCTTCCCCCTCCCCCTAATATCCCATCAAATACTTTTATTGGATGTCTTTCTGTGGGCAAGATTTAAAATGACCTATTAAATTAACTAGTTAACTTGGAACTCCAGCCTTAGATTCCACTGTATCAGTAACTTTTAATGTAATACATCTTTTGCAGACCTCTTCATGGCATGCACTTGGTTTTACTATCAATAATAATGCTTACTCCTGGCAGCAAAAATGGAAACCTACACAATCAGATTTGCTCTTACTTGAGATTGAAATAGCACCCGTGGCAATATATCTCTTTTGGTATCCTTATCCTCTAGAGAAATGGAGTTCATGTGTTTCCAAACTATCCATTTTCCTTCAAATCAGTAGTAATCAAGTGGAAGTGATTTTTTAGAATCTTGGGAGTGTATGGATATATTAGTGTGAATCAAGGATGGGGTTGCTGCTGGCCTTTAGTGGAGAAAGACCTTGGATGTCGTGATACATCTGAAATGCATGGGAGTTTTCTATATCGAAATATCCATCCCCCAATGTCAATAGTTCCACTGTTGAGAAATTCTCTATTGGAGAAAATTTTACACATTATTTTGTATACTACACCGATATTGTTGAAATATATTTTCGTTGTCTTATAGCAAAAACCTAAGGTAAAACAATTAAAAACCCTCCTCCATCCACATCCTGGCATGTTATTTTTCTATCACCACATTTTACATCTTTTCATCAAATGGCATGCTGTGACTGCTCATATCCTAAGATTCATTGTATTGCATGGTTATTATTCAAACAAACAAATAAACAAACCGCTCTACTTTTTTTTTTTAACCAGGAGAAAATGTCTGTGACAGTTCTAATGCATTTCTATTTGCATTTCTCCTAACTGACTAGATTTGTGATATAGTGGATACTATTTTGTATGGCTGTGTTTTCTCATCTTTGTCTTTTCTTTGTTCATCCTTCTTTTTCCTTTCTGGTTGGCAGAACTCCTCTCATTGCAGCTGGAGTTATTGGTGGACTCTTTATTTTGGTCATCGTGGGCCTAACATTTGCAGTTTATGTTAGAAGGAAGAGCATCAAAAAGAAAAGAGCATTGAGGAGATTCCTGGAAACAGAGGTGAAGTGTTCATTCTTTTCTTGTGTTTAGTAATTTTCACTAATTCTCTTTTTACGAGTGATTAAAAGATAAGTGAATAAGCTAGATATGGAAATGAAAATTAGTTTCACAGTCTCTGAGGGTTTATATTTTATAGTACATATTCAATGAATGAGATGAAAACTTAATGTAGATGGAAAAAGTCAAGGCAGATTCAAAACTTTAAGACAGCAGATAGCAAGGTTCAATGAAATCATATTAATCAGAGAGAATACAGACGTTTCTTTTGGCAAAGTAGTTTTGAGTAGTGAAGTAACACCAGAATATCATCATAACAGCAAAAAATAGCTAGATGGGGGATATTTTTATGATAGAATTTTTATGACAAATGTTAGAAAGAGAATGTTTCCACTTTAAAATAAAGCCAGATAGGCAAGCAATTTATGCTTTCATCAGGGTCAATAAATTTGTAGCTATTGATATTAAATCAGTTGTCAAAAACCTAGTTTGCAGGACAAAGCTTAGTGCTGCAATCACACAAACTTTACCATATAATTTATGAGCTGTATTTGATATTTTGCATATTAGTTACTGTGAACATGTAAATTATCCACAAATCATTCTATGTTCTTTTATATTGCTTCTTTGAGTTCGCTGACATGCAAGCTCATGATTTTCTTTATGGAGTTTATAGGGAAAAAAACTATAAGAGACATAGAGTATATTTACAAGATCACACTCAACTTTTACCCTATATCTTTCTGTTCTTAGTAAACATATAGAAAGTATATGTTTATTCATAAATTCACCTATTGATCTAATTATTTTTAGAAGTTGAAACTAGATAAAAGAACTGTATAAAAGTTCTAGGAACCATTTAAATACAATTTTTATATATATTGAAAAAAAACTTCAAAGAATTGGAATTATCTGTAATTAGAAGGGTCACCCTAATTACTAAGCACACATCCAAAGAGAAGAAATGCAATTACACAAATGTGGAAATATAGTAATATTTTCAGCCTAAACTAGATATTTACAGAAGATCAACTTAATCAATTTAAGCCATGGCACAGGCAAATATGTTTGTACACAATACTTGTAGTGTATGTGTTGTTCACTTAAGTAGGATGCTGGAGGTAGACAGAATTCTCCCTCATAGCCAGCTTGGGGCTGTTGGTAAAAGAATTTTCAGAAGTGAACAAACTAGATGTAGGAAAAATAGGATATTTGGAACAGTAGAAGTTTAATACATGTAACTCAATAAATAGGAGACAAATTATGTCTCCTAATCATGGACGGGAAAGGTTCATTGATACTAGATGTGCTTGTTTTGTTTAAATAAAGTACTTGCTAAGAATTTTCTTCTGTTGGCAATTCATCACTAAACATACTGATTAGTTTTATACATTCTAATTTGTATAGAGACATCACTTAGAAGTAGATTAGATAATTGTTGAATTTCTGTATTTCTCTTAGCTAAAGTAAATATGATTTTCTACAGTCTAAATAGTAGAAAATGCTTAAGGGAATCATATATCCATTAACTCTGAACCAAGCATTCTACCTTAGAAGTGAAAATTTTGTTAAGGCATGGTATATTATTCTAATGTAATTATAGCTGACGTATTTTTCCGAAATAACTAGGCTCCATATTTTCTTCGACTACATGTATACAATTGTAATGTGTATATACATGTTGTGTATATGCATGCACATATATTTAAATATACTTACTGACATTCATTGTAAACTTAATATTTAGATATATGCAGTGATTAAAAATGTACTACTGAAATATGATTATATTTATTGAAAAGTGACAGATTCAGTGTGTATAATAGTGAATATTCTTTCAAGTCTCCAAACTATATTATATATTTTTTCATGCAACGTTAATCACCTAAGGTAGTTATTGATATATCTCTATTTTCAATTGTGAAATTAAGGCCATGAGGGATTAAAGTGCTTTTTACATCTGTTAGTCACTATTGATGTACAAACCTACAAATTTAAATTTAATCATCTTTCCACCTAATTGGTTCACCAAATAAATCTGTGCTTCTTTTAAGTAATAATTATTTAAATGGTTAGAAAAAATGGGTTTGTAAACTTTTAAAAAAGAAAACTACAGCATATTCAATATATCAGAATTTTAAGGTTTTAAAAATACCACATTATGCATGGTATGCATTATGCAGTATATATGTATATGTGTATATTTATTAAAGTCTCACTTTATAACTCTTAGCATATGTATCAACATTTTCCATACAAAAGAAGTCCAGTAGAATTACTTTTAAATAATCTCACCAGAAAGATGCAAAGAAGAGATGAGTTAACATTTCTTCCTTCTTCAAAGGAAACAAAGATGCCCAACAGACATATAAAAATTGTTAATCTTAATTGATTATTAGGAAACTGAAATGAGATATCATATAACACCAATAAGAATAGAAAGGTGAAAATGAGATATCAGTTTATACCAAAAATAACTGCATATATCTTAAAAGAATGGGAACAACCAGTGTTTGCAGAGATGTGATAAAAAAGAATTCCATATTCACTATTGGTGGAAATTTCTTCTATTCAGCATCTGTGGAAAACAGAATAGAAAAATCTCAAAAAAGAAGATAAAGCTTCCATACAACCCAGTAATTACCTCCCTCAGCATCTACCATAAAAATATTAAAACATTAGTTCATAAAGTTATGTGCACCCCTATATTCATGACAACATTATTTACAAATCTCAAGATCTGCAAACAATCCAATTGTCCAAAAACAGATAAGCAGGTAACAAAATGCTGGTCTATGCACACAATAGAATTCTATTCAGTGATTGAATGGATGAAATCTTGTTGTTCTAACTTGCTAGTTAAATGCATTAAGAGGGTGTTAGGCTAAGGAAATGATTCGGAAGGGGGGGAAGGAGGAAACCAAAAACCAGTTGATCTCTCTCATATGGTCAGTATAAAGAAACAAAAACCCTGGAACAGATCTTCTCAATGGAAGTAACTCTTGAGATATTGCTACTAGAATGGTGAGCTGAAGCTTCAGAGGTGGGGAAATGAAAGAAGGGACCTTGGGATAGTGATAGAAAGATAAATGACACTGGAGTTAGAGTTGATGTAGTAGCATTGTAAGTATAAAACAATAATATGGAAACTGAGACAGAACTGCTACTGCAATAAAAATGACTAAAACAGAAAAATAAATGTTTTCCTACAATAAGAATTCTTTGTGGAAGTTTCTGTCAGAATTAACAATAATTTTTGTAATTCTGAATTTTCTTTTAAAGTAAGTAGTGCTTATTTTTTACCATATGCATTTTAAAATTAATTAAAAGTATATTAGGTACTAAACTATTAGAAATTTTTTGATAATTTCATGTATCTTCCAAAATTATTGCAGTTGTTACTTACCTGTATACAGACTCTAATTAAGTAAATTAAAACATGATAATAATAAGCAAGCTGGAGGTCCACAGAATACCTATCCTTATAAATAGGCATTTTGAAAGTTTTTGGTGGTTTTCAAGATCATTTGAACATGAGTATCCCCTTATTATTCCCTTATGCTGAAAAGAGCAAATGATTTGTCTTTTAGTTTTCTTAATTAAAAAAAAAATCCTGTTCATGTCACTTACCTCTTTTCTCACAGAGAAAAACCTAACTTTCAACCATAGCATATAGACTTTTTGGTACCTATTTATAAATATTAGCATCGAGTATTGCCCATCTTGACTTTGTCCTTCAGAACTATCCTACTCCTTTATTTTCCTCTTTCTATTGTTTTGCCCAGATTGTTTATGATGACTGCCCTTTCCCTCATGCCAAAACCATCTCAAGACCTATTTTAATTATGCACCTCCTTAAGGAACTTTTTAAGATACTTTTTAAGATACTTTTAAAGATACTTTTTAATTTGTTGCTGAAAATATATTCCAAGGATTTCATCTTCCATAAAGAAACTTGGAGTTCTGTAAAAATACAATGCTTGCCTTAATACCAGGAGAAAAGAGCCAGAATCTACATTTTTCACAAGAGCCTAAAGTAATTCATCTGTGTGCTATTCTGGTATACTGGCAATGTGTTAAATTATTTTTTTAAGCTTCTAATATATTTGTCCTGGCTTTTCAGTCAGATTTTAAGTGCTAAGGGGTCAATATTTTATTTATATTTAAGACATCAAATCTCCTAGCTTAGTATGTCTCTGGTAGATACATGTACATTGTATTTACCAAGGAAAAAGAGAAAGGATAGGATCTGAATGGTCTGTCTTACAAAAATACTGTCAAGAAAAAGTGGTTTTACTGCTCATTTGTTTTTTGTATGTGAGAGAAAGTGAACCAAAACCAAAAATGGTACTCATTTTTGAATGCAGAGTTCTAAAACCTGTGTTTCTTACTTTACAGCTGGTGGAACCTTTAACTCCCAGCGGCACAGCACCCAATCAAGCTCAACTTCGAATTTTGAAAGAAACTGAGCTCAAAAGGGTAAAAGTTCTTGGCTCAGGTGCTTTTGGAACTGTTTATAAGGTAAATACAAGAATTAACATATGCTATAAGTTGGGATACACTTTGTTTCAAATAATAGTTAGAGATTTGCTTTAAATAATAGCTATAAGTGATTACTCTATCCCCTAAATTTTGAAACTCTGAATTGAGAGTCATGCATGATAGTATAACTTTTAAAAGAATTTGTTTTAAAATGGGGCTGGAGCGGTAGCACAGAAGTAGGGTGTTTGCCTTGCACTTGGTTGACCCGACTGACCCGGGTTCAATTCCTCCGCTCCTCTCGGAAAGCTTGGCAAGCTACTGAGAGTATCTCGCCCACATGGCAAAGCCTGGCAAGCTACCTGTGACATATTCGATATGCCAAACACAGTAACAACAAGTCTCACAATGGAGACATTACTGGGCCCCTCGAGCAAATTGATGAAAAAATGGAAGGACAGTGACATTGACAGTGACAATTTTAAAATAAATTTATGTGACTTTATGTTATCACCATGTTGAGAAAATTTTCACCCACCCTAAAGATCCAACTTCAAAAATTACCTGTTCATACTACACAGTGGTTCATAAAATCCATGGATAATGTGTTGGTTACCTTCTTTGGCTTTTCATTCTTACATCCAGCAGCCTTCATCAGGACCTATTAATTTTTGGTCTCATGAGACCACACCAATATGAGTTAACAGGATAGCACTAATTCCTAAACTATTTTTCAAAAAATACTTGGTACCATATATCACTTAACCGGTAATTTTCTTTTAATGTCATCATCATAGTATCTGCATTTCTAAAAAGTGATTTTATTTGTGAGATTCTGAACTAAGTGGAGACAATGACATCTTAGATTTTCAAGAACAGATATTTTCAAATGATGACATGTCCATGTTTACTTATTTAGTTTAATTATAAAACCAATTCAGAGGGCAGGTGCAAGGTTAATTGTAGTGAAATTTAATTTTAATGGTAAATGACAAGAGTAAGCAATCCTGATTGATTTAGTACTAAATAAGCTCTATAGTTCTTTATGTTTGGAAGGGAAGAGAGCACACAGTGATGATTAGAAGCTACTCCTTCCATGGTGCTCAGGTGCTTGGTTCTTCAGAACTTGGGATCAAGTTGTTCAGGGATCTAAACCTAGGACTTGCAAGGAAAGCATGTACTTCATCCCATTAAGCTATTCTTTCGGGCCTAATCATAAATTTCTTAAAGCTATCTGTAAGCATACATTTTTACACGCATAGCGATAGCACAGGGGTAGGGCATTCGCCTTACACGCAGCCAACATGGCCGACCCGAGTTCGATTCCTCCGCCCCTCTCGATTCCTCCGCCCCTCTCGGAGAGCCCGGCAAGCTACCCAGAGTATTCGATATGCCAGACACAGTAACAACAAAGTCTCCAATGGAGACGTTACTGGGCCCGCTGGAGCAAATTGACGATCAACGGGAGGGCCTTTACCTTACCTTTACCTATATGTTGAAATATATATTTAGGTGAGTTGCATTTTAAAATCCTTTATTATTTACATTAAAGAGTTATTTAGTCAAGTACTAATTATAACGTAAGTCTTAGTTATAAATCTCAAGTATCTAAAAATGACATTAATTTCTTTTGAAAGTTTTTTAAGATCAAAGTATAAATATTTCTTAATCTTTCAGTATTTAAATTAGTTCATTAAATTCTAAATTATTTTCTGAGCACCTAAGTTGACTGGGAAGCACTGTAGGACCATTTGATGTCTTTTAATCTCTAAAATACACGTATGCTCAAAGAAACACTGTATTTATCTATTATTTAAATTTTTATTGTGGTAGAAAAATGTATTGTAATTTTAAAGACAGTTCAACATTGTATTACGCCTAGTGTATAATATACTATGATCAAGACTGAATGTTACCCTAGTTCTTCTGTAGGAAAAATATTACCTATTTAGACATTCAAAATGGTGATTTATTAATGCATCTAATTAGTGTAATGATTTGTTTGCTGTCTATGAGCATTTCACCTTTGTCAAAATTGCTTGTATTGATAATTCCATTATCATGATTGAATTTTATGTATCATTGTGTTTATTTTACCTTATATTTGTCAACAGATTAAGAATTAGAAGAACCCATTTTAATACTGCCTTTAAGTGTAGAGATATTTTTGAATATAGAAATGCAATTTGGTTTAGCCAATTATTAGTTTGATTTTTTCCAAGCATTTTTAAACCAAGAAGAAAGAAAAAGACCCAATATCATGAGCATGCACCTGGTTAATTTTTTATATTTATAATTATTTTATTTTGAGAAAATTATGCTTACGCTTATTTTAAAACCAATACAAATATAACCATCCTGAGTTTACATTCCTCTTTTAAAAGCATACTCAAGAATATTTTAATGTTGACATTCTATTTTGTTAGATTACTCCTTTTGTGGTTTCTTTATTGGATAATGTTAATCTATTTTCTAATGGATGCTTCTTGGGTTTCATTTTCTCTATTTCTGTATTAGTAATTTTTAAAAAGCATAACACAGGGATCTTGGCTTATTATTTCTCGCTAGACCTAGAGTTTTCCTATTCACCAGTTAGAAATTAATATAACCCTTAAATTAATCTTTTTTAAGGTTTTTGTTTTACATTTTAATAATTCCTGTGTTTAGATCTCATAACAGTTTTGATTAACAAAAACATGTATGCTTTAATGGAGAAGGGCAATTGATAATAAGACTTTTTTTAAGTAGTCAATTCTTTTCTTCTTTTAATTTTAGTGCTTAAACTAGCCTAACTTTGTGCCAATTTGTGTATAATCTATGTAACCCTATGTGACTTTTTAAAATCATCTTTATCAAAGGGTTACGTTGTCTCCAAGAAATGCTGTTATTTAACTTAATGGTTTACTTTATTCAAACTCTAATATGTTTATATTTTTATAAAGCATAAATGGTGCTCAGGTATTATAATATATTTTGATAAGAAGAGAGAATCATCAATAGCTTATATAAATTAGTAATATAAACATATTACTTCAAATATAATAACATGTTTCACAAACCACACACTGTTTAATAATAAAGATATATTCATATATGCTCAATACTCTCTAGTGCTTGACTTTGAAAATTAATTCTTAATCACCTTTAAACATTAATTCTTAAATCAATATCAACTTCAACAACTTGAGACTATGATTGTTTAATGCTTCTTTATTCACAGAATAATTCAATGATAGTAAAACTGAAAAGAATATCTAACATTGCATAGCCCAATGTTATAAATAATGATTATAAATTAGAAAATTTAATAACATAAAATGGAACAGCCTTCACTAAGATTTGAGAACTTTGTAACATTATCCAAATCAAATATTATATTTCTGTTCTATTTAACGCTTTTCCCCCTACTGTTCAATAAGTTTCATGAACACAAATTAAATTTTATGATAGTCAATGATGTGAAAACCTTGAAATTAGAATGCATCTATGTTTCATCTTTATATAATAAAAATCAGGCACAAAATTGCCCAATAACTTTGAGCATATGACAAAGAATTCATGTTTATTGATCGAATGAAATAATATAGGTCTTCTAATACAATTATTTTTATGTAAATCTTATGTGTATCCTAACATAGATTTAATGTGGATGTTTTTCATAGGGCATCTGGGTACCTGAAGGAGAAACAGTGAAAATCCCTGTGGCTATTAAGATTCTTAATGAAACAACGGGTCCCAAAGCCAATGTGGAATTCATGGATGTAAGTAGAGACATAGAGTCATATATTATAATTACTAATAGACTTCTTTAAAACAAAAACAAAAAACAAAACAAAAAAATACCTCTCAATATTTCTTCCTTAAAAATGGTAAAATCTTACATAAAGACTTGAGCAGAGACCTAAAAAATAACTTAAAAGACTATAGAATAAGAACGTATTTGAACTTGGTAGTAGCTGTTTAGCACTGTTTTCTCAGTCAGTAAGCAGTCATAGATAATTAAAAATAAAACAAAGAACACAAATAGATATGACTGAGTTCCCATAAAACTTTATGAAAAACTCAAACAAAACAGAAAGTAACCTGTAAAGCTTTATTTGACCCGAAGGCTAAGTAAGCCCTGCCCTTAAGAACTATGGGTTTAACTACGGTGCAAATTTTCATTTGAAAGTTGTGGTAGCAATTTGAAAAATTAATAAGGCTGCTTTATTTTATGATCATTGTGACCTATATAGTTGAAACAACCAAGATTAGTTTCTATAGAAGTTAGTCTCTGTTAAATTTAAATTAGGAACCTAAGTCAGATAGTTACCCATTGAAATTTACTTTTTCCATTTCCAACTCAGAAGGCAAGACCTTATAATTAAGGAAAAATGAGCTATAGCGTACAAGATTTCTGAGGGATAAAATTACTTTATCAAGCCAATGAGAACCTTAAAATCTCTTCTAATGAAAAATGTAGATTGAACTGTTCATAAAATTTTAGAAGGCATGACAGAATTACATTGTAAAAGTAGTTTGATATTACATTTGTTTGTTTGTTTTTACATTTAACACAAAATATCTTTCCCAGGTCTGTTTTTGTATAATGCTTATAGTACATTTGCTTAATTGACTTTAGTACTAAAAATGACATTAGTTTCAAATGTTATTTATGTGATATAAAGTTAATATTAGCATATATGTTTTACAAGTTTTGTGAAGATGGATTACTATATATTTCTATCCAATTGTACTTGTAAACTTGTAAGTTTTATGGAAGGTTTGTTTATGAGTCTGGATAATTGATTTGGGTGTGAGCCAGTCATTTATATAAGAATATTTTTAATTTAACTTATATTGGTTATATAATAATATATTGTGAACATATAAGCCTAATAATGAACTACTTATCAATTATTGCCCAACTGTTGACATCTGAAAACCAGTTTTTTCTGGACACCAGTGGGAGTTGTGCCTTACCAGTTCCTAATATTTAAAATAACATTCTTGTTACTTTCCTACCAATACCTATGTAACACACGTTGTGACTAGTAATTAAAGGATGTTGTACTCTTGAGGACTTTAAACAATCTCACTCTATACACTCCTCCCTTATGTCCTGGTCTGTGTATTAACAATGAAAATATTAAGCCTTTTCGGTGAACTCACAATCAATATGATCTTGATCACTGTTTGTGAAGACATTAAGAAAATAATATTTATAAAAGTAAATGCATATGAAACAACATAGGTTCATATTTAAATTGTTGGAAGGCAGAGCTCTTGAACAGCCTGCAGTATAACCAAAGTTGAATTTGTAAGAATGCCTGTAATCTCTCCTAGAGGCCAGGACAACCATTTTGTCATATTTCCATGGAAACAGACTGGCGAAAAGAGGTTAAGAGGCTACAAAATAATCACCTAAGAAAGAAGCTCTAAAAACCTCATCATGATTTTGAATGATTACTTGAAAGCTCCTAACCCCATCCATATTTTGTTCCTGATCTGAAGTCTATTTCCATGGAAACAGGAGTAGCATGGCAGCTTGAAGTCTTAGATTTGCACTGAATTTTAAATGAGGCTCTAACTATGTAGTGCAAGGAGTCATTTTCCTAGATGGTCCATGAATTTGGTGTCCAGTAGACTACAAGAAGTCTGTTCATCTTTAAAATTAAAAAAAAATAGGAAATAGCACTTTGATTATATTTTTTTCTATTTTGTGGATTAATGCTAGATTAACAGATTGATGAATTGCTATCTGCAAGTTTCAATAAATATGTGGTAGAAACGTGTTTAGTATCTTTGTGACCTTTATCAAAACACTGGAAGGGTACTGACATCGTGATTAAAGCACTCTCAAGGTTAACGGTGGATTCAGTATGCAAATGGATTGGTGTAAATTTAATGGAAACATATAGCTACATTTCAGACTCACATTATTTATTCACCTATTTTGTGTGTAGGCCATGATAAATAATTGAATAATGTATCAACACAAGTAAAATATTTATGTAAGGAAAATTGTTTGTTATTTGAACCTAGGGATGAAATTGAATTTGCGAATATTCCCAAGGTTTTTAAGTTGAAAGCCCTGTTTGCCCCTATGGTTTAGTTTAGGCACCTCCAGACACATATGCTGATGGTGAAATTAGAATTTGAGTGAAGGTTTATTTTGAAGGTGAAGGACTCATTAGTAGGAAATTGAGATAGAGGGGACAATAAAGTCAGGAGCCATCATGAGTTACCAGAGCTTCTTTCCACAGAAGAGACTCTGTTATTTGGTACAGAGCATACACCTCAGAGTAACTTAAAATTCCATGTCGAAGCAGTTGATATAAGGATGCCAGCTGTCAACCGTTGATTAAGGGATAGTGAGAAGGACAGTTATTTGCTTATATGTCATATATAGAAGCTAAAAAAGGCTTCTAGAGCAAGAGAAAAACTGGGCATAAAGAAACTCTAAGTGAAACTCAGTTGATACAGCACACATTTCCAAGGATAACTTTCTAATTAAAATAATGTTTTGCTACAATGATATAGTCTCCTCCTTTGCAAACCACTAGATGTGTGCATTTGTATTTATCTGCATGTGTGAGCTAGTGTTTTATAGCATTTTCTAGAAGGAGAATAAAATACAGTGAAGAGTACATACATTTATTAAGCAATGGATCTTCTATAGTCTCTGACTATAGACTATAAAAGTAGAAAAAGTAGAAATGAGAGAAACTCCTGGAGAGGAACTTAGTGTAAACTAAGACATATTTTGTATTGCTGTCGCTGTAGCTGTTGTTTGAATAACAAAACAGGGTCTTTGTGTTTCTTATGGAACACAATGTCAGAATTCCCCTTTGTTTCTCAGAGATGGCTTTGTAATTTGTGCTTTTGAAGGAAGATTAACATTTTCAATTCCCATTTAGGTAAATGTAACTATCTGTGTATTTAAGGCACTTTAAACTATGGATTTGACCAATCTAATGTCACTGGGCCACACAGGTGGTTTATGTGACGTGGAAAGGAGAAAGATGGTCACTTTCTCCCAATTCTCTGCCACCCGGGGCCCAGGGTTACTGGGTGCTTGTCTCATCTCGCAGAAAAGAATTTCAGGAGTAGACAAACCGTGAAGTAAAATAAATTTTATTTGGAGGTTTTGAAGAGGGAAGGAGGAAGAGAAAGTGGGAGAGAGTGGAAAAGAGAAACATGCTCAAGAGAGAATCTTGAGCTTCTCCAAGGGTGGAGAAAGCCCCTATATGCATCCTGGTATTTGATTGGAAAGCATGAAAGTACACATCTCAAGATGGAAGATGCAGGCAGCACTTGTGCTCAGGCACCACATGTGCTCCGCCAGTTGGCAACAAGCAGCACATGGGCTCAATCAGCATATGTGTGCCCTTCCTTTGTGCAAGGTGGCTTTTATAATTTTTGTTGTTGTTGTTGTTGTTTTTCCCAGCCTGCGCGCAGGTGGGGCTTCTACCTAAGTAAAAGTCAGTTCCTAAGGAGGTTGACAAAGGGTGTAGGGTTGGGAGTGGTGATGATCTTCCTTGAAATTCCTTCCCTGGCCTTTTGTTTTTTTCTGCTGGAACTTCTCTGGGTCTGTTGCTGCCGGGTGGGTCTTTATCAGGCCTTAGTTGGGTTTTCTGCGAGGTTGGCTTTTGCAACTTCAAGGCTATTGCTTCCCAGGAAATTTACTGCCATCACCTTGGGAGGGGATCTTCCCTATCTGCCTGCCTGCGTACATCAAATATATCCAGGTATTAACAATTTTCTCCTAGTTTTCAGTAGCCCATGGCCTGGAGTGATTATAAAAGTTCCTCAGTCTTAGAGCTCAGGAATGCAGGATCATATAAAATACAAGATGAGGACAGTCAAAATGGAGCCATTCTTGGGAGCTGGTGAGGGGAACCAGCCTCAATAACATTTAACAATTATTAAATACTCCACTCAAAGTAAGAGAAGGGCAAATTGATAACAGGGTTATTACTCAAATCACCTGAATATGTTCAATACATTCATAATGATAACATTAGTGAAGGGCCAGTGTAGTCTTCATTTTTTGAGGGAAAAAAATTAACATTAAAATTAGGAAAGTTGCTCTAGAAGTCTAACTTTATGAGGAGTCCCACATGTTTCTCTATATAAAATCTTGCTTCAAAAGGCACCATTTCATTGCATTTTTATTTTAATAATGAAATGGTTTTGATATTTTCATTAAATAAAATTAAGATGTTTTGTTTGTTTTTCATCCTTAATTGGCGTCATCAACTTTTTCATAAATTATGGGAATAGCTTTCCATTAAATATCCTTACTATTTAATACAAACTTTGAATTCTGTTACTTCTTTGTGTTTTCAGTGATGTCACTAAAGAAAGCTGCTACTCCTTGGATTTTGGAGCTCATGATAACTTTTTGCAGCGTTCCTTCCTAAACCCTCCATTGGTTTTTCACTCACCCCTCTTAAAAAAAAATTAGTCTTTGGACAGAGCCAATTAGCTTTTTCTGAACCATCCCTACTCCACCACAACTATTGGATTTTTAGTTTCCTTTATTTTTTATTTGCTTGTTGTTGTTGTTTGTTTTGGTTTGGCTTCTGGGGTGTTCAGTGATTATTCCAGGGTCTGCACTCAGGGCTCACTTCTGGCAGTGTTCAGAGGACCACCTGTGGATCCAAGGCATGCCCTCCTCCTATATTATCTCTCCAGCTCAGTTACCCTTATTTTTAAGAAAGTGTATAATTACTCAAACATTTCACTCTTCAACTCTTAATCTAGTTAGTGCCTATCA